TGGATTTAACTTCAACTTTTACACGTAATTTATTACGCAAGGACTTGAAATCGTTTGAAGGGAGAAAGAAAAGAAAAGAAAAGAAATTATTCAACTTCATTCAGGCAAAATTCTTTATGCACCGAGAGAACAGTTGCCAACGTAGACTTCGAATTTTGGCAAGTTCAAGTTACGTTCGTTCGTCTGGGAAAAGACGAATTTTGGACGTCAGGACCGAATCAGCCTGACTCCATCAGATGTTGCCCAATTTTTTCGCGAGTTTAAATTTTTAGACGAAAATGAAGAAACACTGAAATTTGAAATTTTATGACTTCTATAAACTCCACAATCCAAGGGAAATTCGCATACAATATAAATGCGTCAAGTAATTTAGATTTCAGTCAGAAAAATAAATCACGAGAGAAAAGTAGACAATGTGAAATGTTGTCAGGCTCATCCGATTAAATATTTCCTATTAGACCCTTTGCATTTGAAGGATTTTTGATTGAAAGAGAACTGCATCCCTTTCTCACGGTATCTGTATCCGTTCTCTGTTCCAGGCAAAAGGAGCCGACGCACAGACACCCATTGATCAGTTACGTCCAGAGGGACATCAGCTGATGGAGAGAGAGCCTCTATTCGACAGTGTTATACTTGATCTGCAATGTTCATCGGCCACTAGTTCTGAAGAATCTTCGTCGGGGGGATGTTCCTCACCTGCATGCTTCTCTCCTGAAGGATCCCTCTCTCCAGTCCTCATGAAAGATGCTGGCACCCAAACAGAGATCGAGCTTATGGAGCTCTTCTTGAACGCATTTCCATACTTTTGCCGTCTTTGCCCGCGCCGATTTCCAACTCAAATAAATTTGATCTCTCATCAGGAAGCAGATCATACGGAAGAAAATACTGCCACTCAACCGGTGGCGCATAGCGTTTGTACACCCAACAATCAAGAAGACACGCAGAAGAAAATAATATGTTTCTTCCCTAGAACAGTAGGTACAGGAAGTCCAAGTAATGCGCGAAGGGAAGAATCGCACTCCCCGCCCCAGGCGCATAACTCAAAGCCGGAGTACACTTGTGCGCATTGCTCCAAAAGTTTTAAACAAAAAAATCAAGTAAGAAAACATATGATATCGCACGTGGATTGGAGGCCTTTCAAATGCACATTATGCCCGGCGCGATTTAAAGAAAACAGCGGTCTGCGCAGACACATAAGGGATGTCCATGATAACGGGAGAGTAACCTTCTCATGTGAGGTGTGTTCGGCATCATTCAGCGGGCACGCTAAATTGCGTTCTCATGTTGAAAACGCACATA